CAATGCTCCCTCTAAGCTGTGGAGTCTTGTGAGCAAAAATCCTGCTTTGTGAGCTCCTGGCATTAAAGTTGTGAGCGAGCGATTTGGCTACTGCATAAATTAGTTTGCTCTGGAGCCCTCCTTCCTGAGCTAAGGCAAAAATGTGTGAGCCGGAGGCTAAAAAACCATGACTCAGGAAAGGGCAGCTCCTTGTGTGTCTCAGAAGCAGCGGCCAATAGTATAAGCCTGCTACCCACAAACCAGCTGGAAGGTTTGATCACCATTTGGCAAGCGTGGGCACATCATCGCCTGTGGAAAGCCAGGCCCGGCGAAAGGCGGGTTGTTGCCAGGGCCGCATGGCATCTCTGAGCCCAAGTAGAACACAAACACGTTTGCAGCGCCACAGACAACAAGAGTTCAGGAGAGACCCCAGGGGAATGTGATGAACCAAAACATCAGACCTTTTTGTTTCCACAGTCCTTCTTTCACACCGTCCTTGAAAACAGCCCTCATTGCAGCTCCATGGTGGACAACAATCTGCGCATCACCAACTGGAACCGTAAGCTGGGCTGCAAATGTCAGTACAAGAACATCGTCGACTGGTGCGGCTGCTCTCCCAACGACTTCAAACCCGCAGATTTCCACCGGTTCCAGGTGAGCAATGGCCCGATCCAGGCCCCTGCTGCGGTACAGCTTGTGGGCTTGCAGAGCCTGGTGGGCAGCCACTTCAGCAGGGACCCGTCAGTCCAGGGCTCTTTTTGTAGAAAAAGCCCAGCAGGAACTCATTAGCATAATAGGCCACGCCCAACAGCAGGAACTCATTAGCATATTGGGCCACGCCCCTGACAGCACAGCTCATTGGCACATTAGGCCACACCCCCATGTTACCAGAAGTGTGGTTATCCAGCCACACCCACCTTTTGCTTGTTATTCTGTTTACCTTGTTTGTTGTCAAAACCCAGGGCTTTTTTTGTAGCAGGAATTCCTTTGCATGTTAGGCCACACACCCCTAATATAGCCAATCCTAATGAGTTTCTGCTGTTAGGTGTGGCCTATTATGCAAATGAGTTCCTCCTGGGCATGGCCAACTCGGGAGCCAGCCAGAACTCCGTTCCTGTGCGTTCCTGCCCAAAAATAGCCCTGCCTGTCACCATCCCACACAGGATGACCCACAATTAAGCTGCGGAAGTCTTGTCCAGTGGAGTTTTACTTTGCCCGTCCTCCAAAGAGTTCAGCACAGCAACCGCAGTTCGGTCTTCCTCCATTTAATCCTCAGGGGACAGCCCTTTGCAGTAGGTTAGGCCAAGAGAGGCCAAGTGGAGAGCTGAATCCAAGCCTCTCTGGTTTCAGTCTGGCCACAGCTTCACACCGTCTGTCTCTGAGGTTCCTGGGGGTTTGTTCAGCAGAGATCCCAGATTGGGGCATCACATCCCACTTCCGTATGCCCTTCTGTGCCACGTGGGGAAGGGCCAGGGGAGGGTCCCATGCCACCACTCCTCACAAGGAAGAGCCTCCAGAGACCCAGGCCTCCTGGCCGGCCTGTACGCCTCTTTACGTATGCATACAGTCTGCCTCACTTCAGTTTAATCCCCTAAAATGGCCTGGCAATTTCCCCTCTCATTTAACTGTAATGAAAATCCAGCGGAGGGGGCAAGGGGGGGGGAGATTGTTTATCGCAACGGTGTGTGGAAAATAAAATGCACAAGCTGTAATTCTGATCCTGTGCCTTTCTTGTTCCCCAAACCGCCGGTCCCTGCTTGGTAGACAGTTAAGCAGAGCGCTGAGCTAAATCTTTTCAGAAATGCGAAGGCAAGCCTAATGATGCTGCGTAAAACGGTCGTGTCGCTTGTTAGCGCTCCTGTGGGTAGTTGTTGCGCAGATTCCGTTGGAGGAAAATATAGCTCCTGTCATTATCTTGTTATTTAGGTTGACGGCTTGGTATTCAAAAATAGGTACCAAGGCCCAGAAGCCATTTTGTTTTAATGCAACCCCCATTCTTATCAACACAGCAAACCGCAAGGCCGACCTTCTTTGCACGCAAATTTGAAGCTGTGGTGAATCAAGAAATAATTGGCCAACTGGACTATTATTTATACGGGAACTATCCTTCGGGCACGCCCGGCCTTCGGTCATACTGGGAGAACGCGTACGACGAGCCGGACGGCATCCACAGCATCAGCGACATTGCGCTGACCATGTACCATTCGTTTTCCCGCTTGGGTCTGAGGAGAGCGGAGGCCTCTTTCCACACAGACGGCGACAACAGCTGCCGGTAGGTTCAGAAATGCCTTTCCAGTCAACTGGGGTGGGCTCAGGCCACACTCAAGGAAAGGCCAAAAAAAAGCGCAAATAACAACTGTGTACTGCACAAACCCGCAACAAAGTTAACAAAAAGAGACTGCAACACAAAGGCATGTTTGGTCCAGCTTACATAATAGCAACCTTGGGAGGTGCTTTCTAAAGCTTAGGAGACCTGGCCCATAGAGAAACTGAATAGAGTTTGCCTGTTAAGAAATTGCAATGAGACTTCCTGTAGTGGCTTTTTGTTCCTGAGGAAGGACCAGAAGTCCGAAACACTGAACGATACCTAGGAAAAGTGTTGATATCTATTCCAGACTTCATTGTTTCCCTTTGAGAAATTTCTATTCTGGACTTTGTTCTTTCCCTTTGGGATATTGTGGACTTCTGTAGTTTCCTATGATGGATTACATGGGTTGAATTACCTTCGTGTTGAAGTCTCTTTTTGTTAACTTTGGTGCGGGTTTGTGCAGTACACAGTTGTTATTTGCTGGGTTTTTTGGCCATTGTTTACTGTGGACTGTATTGTTGTTGTTGTTGCACACTCAAGGAAAGACAGAGTTCAGACGGGACATGTTTGGTCCCTTGGCTGCCATAGTCGTGTCTGCAGCCGAGGGGGAGGTGTCTGATTTTCACGTTAAAATGGGCGTGTCGGTGGGGAGAATCCCTCGAATTCATATGAACATTGGTCCATCTAGCCCAGTGCCCTCTACTCTGACTGGCAGTCACTCTCCAGGATCTCAGGCCACGAGGGCTGTTCCCAGATGTCATTTCGGGGGGATCGCGGGGGATCACAGTTCCCCCGGGTGAGGTGCAGGGGGGCCCCTTCTTCCGGCCGCCCCCTTCTTCCAGCCTCATTCTGTTGCAGAAGGAGGAAGAAGCAGGAGGGTAAGTTGGCGTCCTCCCCCTCTGCCTGGCCGAGGCCACTCCACGTGGCCTCCGCAAGGACTCCCAGCCCCATCCAGGAGCTTCCCCGAGGTAGCTGTGTTAGTCTGCTGCTGCAAAATAGTCCAAGAGTTCAAATAGCACCTTTAAGACTAACCTTTAAGACTAAGACTGAGTGGTGGGTGTGGCCTTATGTCACACTTCCGGTGATGGCAGGGGGTGTGGCCTCATGACACACTTCCGGTGATGTCAGGGATGTGGCATATGCTAATGAGTTTCCCTAGCTCTTTTTCTATGAAACGACCCCTGGGGTTTCCCCACCTCCTGGGGATCTGCATCTGGGCCCTTCTGACATGCAGAGCACACTGTGCCAGGGGCCCCTCCCTCCTCTGCCCTCCCCTCTTCTTTCTCCCCACGCCACCTCATCGCTGGCACATAACTACCTAATGATTTCAGCGCTGCTTCAGGCAGGCAATCTATTTTAAAAAATAATAATAAAGCTCAGCATGTACGCGGATTTAATTTTTTAAACCACGGTTTTAAAATTTATTTCTCAGAAGCCACTTCTCATTTATGTAACATGCAGAGCAATCATAGCAAGCAAAAAACAACAACAGCACCCCCAACCCTAAGGTGTATGGGAGAGCGTAAAAAGGGTAGGTGGGGAAGGATCGTCACGGCATGGACACTGGCCAGCGTGCACTGTGCACTTGCTGCACAGCCGGTGTTCCCCAAGCTGGAGTAACTCTGCAGAACCCACGGGCAGATGGAGATCTTTTCTGCATTCCCTTGCTGCCAGCTGTCCCTTCCCACCCTGGGAAGGCTGATGCCCAGGGTCAGAGGACTGTTGTGGGGGAAGGAGGCAGAATTGCCTCTCCTCTCTCTTCTGTCAGTAAAGCTGTGCTTGTCAAAGAGTGAGGAGGGGGGGGGGTTATGCCCCCTTGTCAGTGGAGCCCCCACCCCACCTGGCTGTTAGTCTGTGCCAGTCCCTCAGCCCAGGAATCAACTTTCCCAGAGGGGTGTTGGGAATTTGGCAAAAATCTGCACTCCTTAAGCCATCAGATCACTGGATCCAGTCCTCTGTCTGTCCCCAGTAAGGGCATTGTGCTTCCAGTGTGCAGCTAGTAGTTTTCTTTTTAATAAACGGCTGCAGCTGGTCATACAACACAGTCTTGGTCTATTTCTCCTCCTGTTCCTCTCCCCCCTTTTCCAACGCTTTCTTTTCATTCCTTGCACGAAAGAGGCCAGCAGCCCTGTGAAATCGGCTAATAACACAATCACCACCATCGTTCTTTTCCCAGTGTTGCTGGCACTGCAGCTAAGGAGGGGGGTGTACATCTGATCCCATTTGTAGGCACCACTGCATGCCTCCTACAGCCCCAGGTTCCCTCCTGAACCCAACTGGAATGCCTGGGGGGCGGCGACACCTGGGGAGGGTTAGCCAAGTAAGGGGCACCCCCTGCAGGTTCTTCCTGCACAGGCTTCCTTTTAAATTGAGCTTCTTTATTTCCATCTCTGGATGATTTTTTTTAAAAAAATATTTAAACTAGCTGCTGCCAGGAGACTGTCTCCCTTTACATTTTTGTGAATCCTGTCAATATTTGCTACAGAGTGTACCTAGAAGTTAGACTCCAAACAAAAGTCATACTGTTTAACTTGCACTGGCTGTTTTTGCTCAGCTTTCTGGGCCTCAGCAGAGTCTGTTGGCATCTGCTACCTTTGCTGTCTGAGTTGGGCTTATTTATCATCCTCTGGAAATTGCAGTTCTGCACAGAGTAAGTGCATTTTGCTTTAGGTCCAAACTATGTGTTAAATATGCCCTCGGATCCTGTTCTCGTACTTTCTTCCGCTATAGGGCTAAGGGTGGTTTCAGAGATGATGAAACCTGGTGTCGTTCCAAACAAATTCAGTGCCCCCGCCTCCCCGGGAGAGATCTGATCTTGGATTCCCCACATCATGTCCCGTTTGGCTTACCAAGATAGTTTTCCTGCATAAGTTTGACTCCAATAAAAGTTGGTTCTCTTTGACTGATCCTTGCTGTGCAGGCTCATGTTGAGCCATGTTTCTCGGGGAGGGTGGTGGCCGGTTGGAAGCAGGGCTTGAACCTTAGCAAGCTGTTCCTTCCTGTGCAAAAGTAGAAGATGGCCCCGTAGACTTCTGTGCAGAAGTCTCCTTTTGTGTTGGGAAGGCGCCTGCCGTTTCCTTCAGACCAGCGGGTTGTGCCTTTTATGGTCAAGGCGTGCGGGAGGGCGGGGCGGCAGCAGTGGTGGCACTGGGCGGTGCCAGTTGTTTGGCAGCCTGAAGAAATTGGCCAATCCCATTCAAATGCAATAAACACCATTCATCTGTGCCGTTGATCAGTCTGTTCCCTGCCCATGTTTTCCAGGTACTACCCAATGGGCCACCCGGTTTCAGTCCACCTCTACTTCCTGGCTGATCATTTTCAGGGCTTCCTCGTTAAGCATCATGCTACCAATTTGGCTGCCAGCAAACTAGAGACCTTAGAAACGTGGGTGATGCCCAAGAAAGTCTTCAAAATTGCAAGCCCTCCGAGCGATTTTGGCAGGCTGCAGTACTCAGAGGTAAGTCTTGCTTCCTTTGCAACAGGAGGTGAATGGATACCCCCCTCCCTTTCTTCCGCACCTGTCATAGGCCTCATTTCCTTACCAAGGTCTCAGTGAGGAGGTGAGCCTGTGTCTGGGCTTGGAGCATCTCACGTTGGAATCCTCTTTTGTTTTAAAATAGTTCCCTCTGTGTAGAAAATCGCAGTGTCATTGAGAAGGCGAGGCTTAGATATACTGGCTTTTTATTTAATAGTCCTTAAGAGCTGCGGTGGCTCAAGTGGTTAAGACGCTGAACTGCAGGCTGTGGAAGGTCAGTAGTTCAGCAGTTCGAGACCAAGTGTGCTCCCATCTGTAGTTCCAGCTCCTGCCAACCTAGCAGTTCGAAAGCAAGAAATTGCAAGTAGATAAATAGGTACCACTTCGGTGGGAAGGTAACAGCGTTCCGTGCGCCTTGGTGTTTAGTCATGCCGGCCACATGACCACGGAAACGTCTTCGGACAGCGCTGGCTCTTCGGCTTTGAAACGGAGATGAGCACCGCAACCCTAGCGTCGGACTCTTGGCTTTTGAGCAAGGGAAACTTTACCTTTAAGACTAACAAAACCTAACCCTAGCATAAGCTACTGTGAATCAGAGGTCGCGTCATCAGATGCATGGAGTGTACAGCTGTAGGAGATATATTTATACTTCTAATATCGTACTATAATACATAATCTGGATTTATTAATACAAAATTACTGTCTTACAAAGAAAAATTCATTGCGATGAAACAGTGTGGCACAAAAATGAGGACTATAGAGGTTAGTTCAAAATTCATGTTTAAATTTAATCAGGTTTGGGTAAAAAAACTGAGAATTCCAAGTCCAAACACCAGATATGAGAAATTCTAAATCATTCCTGGTGTGAACCAACCCTTTATCAGAAGAAATACTGACATTAGAAGTGTTAAAACGTTGGCCCATTTGAATTTTTCTTTTTCTTTCAAAAAAAGAAAGAAAAGCTCCCCAAATATATGCAGAAAGATATGGCTTTGTACATTAACCAGAAGAAAACAAACAAACAAAAGTTCAATAAGAATTGAATATTAAGAACAGCTGAGAGTCAGTTGCATGATGGGGGGCAGATATCAGGATCTTGGCCCCCTGCTCAGGCCCGTGAGAAGATACAGAAATCTGGAGGGAGGAGGTTTATTGGATGTGAAGGGCTGTTGCTTTTTACAAATTATTCACCCACCACCACCAAGATTCCTTGCAGCTTGTCTTACCTAATTTGAAAGTGATGGTTTCTATTTTACTGTATTGCTTTTTTATTGTTCTAAAGTTATTTCTGTTGTCGATATTTAAACCACTTTGGGTGCTTTAAAAAAAAACCTAGAAATGATAAATAAACAAATCCAGCTCACTGTTTTTTAGCTTCCGGCTCACACATTTTTGCCTTAGCTCAGAAAGGATGGCCCCAAAGCAAAGTAATTTATGCAGCAGCCAAATGGCTGGCTCGCAACTTTAATGCCAGTCGCTCACAAAGGAGAAATGTTGCTCACAAGACTCCGCAGCTTAGAGGGAGCTTTGCTGGGGAGCAGCACAAAGGGAAGGAAACGGGTGATGAACAGTCCTCCCTACAACTGGCATCGTTCCTCCAGCCAGATTCAGAGGAGCTCCCCACCCCACGGCTGTATTTAGATGAAGGATGTCAGGAGAGCCTAGCAAAGATCTCTTGCGTTATGTGTACTTTGGCCCTATGTTTTCATAGGCATCCATTGTGGCCTGGTTCAGACCCATGTGCATATGACTTTATTATTAATATTTCTCACACAAGGGCGAGAATAGATAGATACAAGAAGGGGGACCCGCAGGAGGAGGAAGCGGCAGTAGGTAAGCCCAGCAGGCAGACCAAGCCTTCTCCCTCCTCCCTTCCCCCCTGGCGGCAGCGAGGCCAGAGGCCTGCCAAGACTTCTCCCCCAACACCGGTGGCAGCAAGGCCTGAGTGGCTCACAGCCGCTGGCCCACCAAGCCTTCTCCCGTGTCCCCCCACAGCGGCAAGGCCAGAGGCCTGCCAAGCCTTCTCCCGCGCTCCAGCAAGGCCTGAGTGGCTCACAGCCGCTGGCCCACCAAGCCTTCTCCCGCGTCCCCCCCGCAGCGTCAAGGCCCGAGGCCCGCCAAGCCTTCTCCCTCCCCCCGGCAGTGGTGAGGCCTGAGCGGCTCATAGCTGCGGGCCCACCAAGCCTTCACCTCCCCCAGTGGCGGCAGCAGCAGTGAGACAGTTGCCAGGGCATTCTCTGCGCATGCACAGGAAATGCTCTTTTACTTTTGGGGGGATTTAAGTATCCCCCGTATAGTTTTTTCAACTTTTTAGATTTTTCTGCACATCTGGGAACTGCTCCAAATGTGCAGGAACATCTCTCTGCCCCCCAAGTGCCCCCGATGTGCAGATTTAGATATCCGCACGGAGGGGGCAGCTTGGCTATTAGATATATAGATGGTTTACTGTGCAGTTCTCTGCAGAGGTCCTCCAATCTACGCCCGTTCGTTTCGGTAGGCTTAGAATGAAGTAACTCTGCATAGGATTGCTCTTGTAAGAGACTTCCACACTAAAATTGTACCAGCGACACAAAAGTTTGCTTCTGGCCTTGTTAGCAGTTGCAATTCATCACGGAGGACAAAATGAGCCCGGGCGGCAGGCAATTAGTGTCTACCGTGTGGACCTAATGTTCCTGTTTGTGGTGAGCAATGAGACACAAACTAGTAATCAAGGCATAATTTATCTTAGGCAAATTTTAAATGGGAATTCAAGAAGGTCTTGGAATCAGAAACATTAGAGGAGGGTCAAGGCACAGAAGGCGCTGTGAATGAGGGGGGCTTCCGTGATGCTTTTTGGACTCATGAGTACAGCAAAGAGGGACGTGCAGAGCCCCTTAGTCCCGTTTCATTTTGTAGTTCCAAATGTTTCCTCTGCACTGTGCTCCATCCCTCTTTAATTCCGGTGTAATAAGAAGAAAACTAGGTTGCTTTCACCTGTGATGTTCTCGAGGTGCTCCTCTGCACGGTCAAAGGGCTCTGCTCAGAGCCTCCTCACTTAGGAATATTCTAGAGGAACTCTTTTCAGGTGCAAAAGCCTCTTCCTCTAGGCTTCCCACGCAGTGCTCTTTTGACTGCTGTACTAATTGACAACGCTCTCTGAGCTAGTTGTTCTGTTTGTGCAAAGTAATTCAATTTGCACAATACTGATTGTAGAAACTGGGGCATGTTAACGTAGAATTTATTCTGTAAGAGGTACTCCGTCAGTCACCTTGACCGACCTGGCCTTTTCCCTCTTGGAGACTGGAGGAGAGAGAGTGACAGAGCAGGGTCTGCCCCTTTTAGCCTGTTTTTTACCCACTTGTTTTTATTGTTTGCTGGTCATGTTAAGTTTTTCTTTTGAAAAAGGCATGATGCAAATATAATAAATATAGATTTCGGGGTTTTGTGTGAGGACCAAAATACACTAGCCTTAAAAAAGCATTCTGGTTGTTCACATATCTGCGGCTCCTATCTGGTGGAATGAGCTCCCAGAGGAGATCAGGGCCCTGCGGGACCTGTTGCAGTTCCGCAGGGCCTGCAAGACGGAGCTCTTCCGCCAGGCTTTCGAATAGGAGCCGCCGCCGTCACCACTACCACC